TATCAAGTAAGATATATTCCTTGTGCATATCATATGTAATCTGACACATGTACTCCGCAGACATGCCGCTGTGCCACTGGAGGGCCAGTCTGAAAGACAGAAATGTTAAAAAATTATATGTAAAAGTATAAAATATAACCTGATAGTTAATTAAATGTTATTTAACGTATCATCATTTCTTAGAAACTTTTTACATTATCATCTTCACTGTTATCATCAATATCTATCTCAACAGATCGGAATATTTTTATTATCACGAATTAGATACACAGTACCCCAAAACGCTAAATATTTAAAGCCTTAGAAAAGCCCTACCGGTGTTTTGTTAGAATTTTACTTTTATGAGTTATTGTTAGGCTTACGTAACATCAATAGTTTAGTGGTTGTATTTTCATGTGTTTATGTGGGCGTTAATTGATTTTTGAAGTTAAAATATGCCGGGTTTTCAGACATGTGGACCGAACGAAGCACTTGTAGTTTCAGGTACATTTTGAAAATTCAAGTTATTAAAAATATAATGGGTTGCGTACATAAAATGATAAACTTAAAATCTAATACTCAGCTGCATGCTAGCACTCGGTGAGTAGTAGATGATCTGTGATGTAACTTATAAGTTATAACCCTAACTTAAGGCTTAACGAGACTGCGAGTGTGAAAACTTGAATCAAAAGTAAATTTATCCAAATGAAATAAACAAGTATGGTTAGCAAAAACTGATCATGCATTAGTACTCATACTTACTGATTTGTTGATTTTTTTGCAACGTATTTTGTCACGAAAACTGACACTGCTGTGAATCGTATTACTTTTAGAAGATTAACCAATAAAAAAAATTGACATTGCTAACAGTAACGTTTACAGTAAAGTACATTGACAGTGATGTAAAAATAGTGTCAACAGACTATATATATTTGTATAACTAGTATTGTTTCAATTTTCATAAGAAGGCTGACCAAGACAAATTAATTAAGTATATTGTATCCTCATATTTCTTCGTATGACATGGCCCGAGCATGACCTATTATCAAAGTGTATAAGCTGATGTCTCGTACCTCATTGCTCGTCTTCATTCTGTTTGTGGACCATCTCAGATAGTAAATTAACAAATGTCTGTTTTTTTTCTGTCTCTTTTTTTTTTTGGTTTTCATTGCTTGAGAATGATACATGTATCCACTTATAAACCAAAACCTTCTCTGTTCTTTGTAAAGAATACATATTGGTACTGTAATGCTTGTTTATCCAGTGTCATGCTAGTGGATCCAAAGTAGGGGTGTAAACATCCATTAGGTCAACACCCAGGATTACCAAATTCTGAGTTTCAGCTACCATGAATTTCACACGTTAGCCCCAATCTTATGAGCTCTGCATACATGAAATGTGTGTGAAATCTAACTATATATATAATCATTAAAATTTACAAAACAGTTATATATTCTATCATATTAGTTAATACCTACTGTGAATGAAATTTTGTAAGATTGGTAGTTCATTTATTGAAGATAAGTTAATCCACCGTAAGCCTAATATACAAACACAAATGCATGACTCAGTTACTAACATGTAGAATAAAATGGTTAGTTTCAAACTTGTAATACTTTCTACTCTATGTGATTATTTTCCATTGAGGTTAGATTAGTCACGTTATCTTATAATGTTATAGCATTGATTATTTTTTGTGAATAATTATTATTGATAATATTGATTTTTTATGTACCTTGTATTATAAACTACAATAAGGTTAATTTGTTTTTCAATTTAATTACCCTATACTACATGTATATTATTTTTGTATCAATCGTTAAATAGTTTCTTTATGAGTATATTATGAAACTATACCAACCTGTCAATGACTTTTTACGTTGGGATCCAACTATACTCTTTACTTTGTAATAATTCTTTCTCTTTCATGTGATCGCAACAGTTGAATTGTTTTAAAAGGTTACAAGAATGGTGCCTGGGATGGAGGGGTTGTCATACGAGGAGAGCTTGAGATCTCTCAGATTGTTTTCTCTTGAAAAAAAGAAGAGTTAGGGGAGATCTGATTGAGACGATTAAGATTGGAAAGGGAATTGATAGTGGAACAGTGGGACTAGGGGACACAAATCTAAATGTTGACAGAATAGGAGGCATCTTTAGTTAAGACAGTTTTATTTTTCTAAAAGGGTGGTTGGCCTTTGGAATGGGTTACCTTCAGATGTTGTGGGTGCAATAAATTTAAGTGAGTTTAAGAGAAAGCTTGATCATTATAGGAATGATAAGGGCTAGCTTTAAAATTGTTTTAATTTATTAATTTAACAGTTTTAGTTTAGTTTAGAGGATGGAATAGCCGAGATGGACCGACAGGTTCCTCGTTGTCCCAAATATTATGTTATATGCTATATTATTTTAGAGCTGATGAGCCAAGTTCGAATCCTTTCGGTACCACAGAATATTCCTCAAACTTTAAGCTGTTGATAAGTGAGAATAGTGACAGTCAATCCTTTAGTGTGGATGGTGGGTGATAGAGTGCCAAAATGTGACTGACTTCTTTCTGACGGCAGGTAACGTTAATAGCTTTGTCATAAATACAGAAATACTCTTATAACGCACCCACATGACGTAGCATACTTGGTAGCGCGATGTTAACAACGCAAAACCTCCAGCCCCGTGGGCAATGCTAACCATTATATTAAGCTCGAGCCTAAAATATTGCTGAATTTTATCCCCCTCAATTGCATGTAAAAACCAATATTATATAACCTGAATACACGTTACTCGCGTTAGTGTGCTTAGGTAATGTATTCACATCAATATTGTTACAGGGCCCGGCATGGCCAGGTGGATAAGGCGCTCGACTCACAATCTGAGGGTCGCGGGTTCGAATCTCCGTCACACCAAACATGCTCGCCCTTTCAGCCGTGGGGGCGTTATAATGTGACGGTCAATCCCACTATTCGTTGGTAAAAGAGTAGCCCAAGAGTTGGCGGTGGGTGGTGATGACTAGCTGCCTTCCCTCTAGTCTTAAACTGCTAAATTAGGGACGGCTAGCGCAGATAGCCCTCGTGTAGCTTTGCGCGAAATTCCAAAACAAACAAACAGTATTGTTACGTCTCTGTTCGTTTGTTAAATTTCCCGCAAAAATTCTTTCCGAAGAACTTCAGCGATACAAATCCTTTCTTAAATAAAACTAGTTTATTCTTTCTCAATACAACTTTGCAATACACAGAATTTTTACGGTCACTTTTACTTAAACAAATGTTATAATTCACAACGATTCACGCACTTCACTTACGGTCACTACCGCTCACTTGACTCAATTATCTGTCTCTATATCTCTCTATCTGCAATTATTATCTCTGTTTTATTTGCCGGGCTTATATACTAAAATAGAGGGCGTCTAGCAAATACTGGGATATTCGTGAGGTTCCCCGATCCTTCTAGAAGCTCATGACTTGTTACCAGGGTCACGTGACTTCCGCTGTCGTAACAGTATTATATTTCAAGTTACCATAGAAGTTGAAAATGGATAGCAAATTGTGCTGTTAAAAACCACTACATTACAAAAGACAAAAAATGTAGCAGTACTTGCTAGAAAAATCACAGGATTATTTTGTTGTTGTTTTTCTGTTCGAGATTGAATTTTGAGAGTCCATAGAAAGCAAATACCACCTGACTGTACTTATTGTTAGTTGATTTAGAGTAAACAATTATAGTATTTCTTTTTATAGAATTTGGCAAGGTTATATTGCAAGCATCAAATCTTCATAATACAGTACCTTTAAAAAAATTGGACAGACATTCGTAATTTTTTTTCTTCATCCTTGTTCTAATCAAACGAGAACAAAGATTCAAAACAAATAACTAGAATAATAATGGCTGGAGACGGCTTAAGTGGGTAATGAAG